AGTTGAATAAAATACGGCACTCGTATTATCTCAAGACACTGATATCGAAATCCAGTCAGTAACTATATATCTGTTTGTGCAGTAAGCAACTACCACACCTTCACCTACCTGCCAAGACCTCAGTATGTGGAATAGGATTGGAAACTGTGATCCATCAAATCAACGTTGAGCTCCAACCAACCAGATACGACTACTATCAAGACAAGTGTTGCAGTTATGGTGTGTAAGCAGTGGTGAAAGCAATACTGTCATCTGTAATATCATATACATAGTTTTATTTTATAACCTTTTCAAGAAGTTAGTCAGCTTTTTGAAGCATAATGCAACTGAAAGGAACCAAAGTAATATTTTCAAAAATTCTTTTCTTACATAAATATAGATAAGAAGCTTATTCAAAACAACTGAAAAAACTACGTCGTTAATGCAAGTTTAAAAGGTGTACTGAAGAAGGATAAATAACTTGTGAAAAGTAGAACTAGAAGAAGTCGATTGTTTTTGATTACTGCTTAGAATTATAACAACTTTCTGAAGTTAGCATCCCACTAAGTCACCGATATCGTGGTAAAGTTTGGCTATTTCAAGTATCTGGCAAATTCTACTACCATTGAAATAAACGAATGAATAACTGTTAAAATTTTGTAAGTAGCATAATTACTTTGATAGGAATATGAGCAGTAAATTATGCTCAAAATGTCACTTAGTAAATAATGCTGTATTACTGTATGTTATATCGAATAAACAAACGAATGTGGAATTATACACTGCCATAGTGCTCAAGTCTTACTCTTTCACTGAGACTTGGCTTCCTTAGGACATTTACATGTACGTGAGCTTATCACCGATCAGAAATTTATTTTATGCATTGTTGTACCATATGTTTAAACTCGTCTATTGAAAAATGTTTGGGAGATAGAATTTTTACGCTCAAAATCCCTTATTAAAAATGTAATTTGAAGATAATTAAGTTTCGCAGAGTTAAATACTAACTTCATTTCCATATTTAATTTATATGGAGTTATTTTTGCGAAACGGTAAAGTCCGTTTATGAGTTTCTAAAAACAATAAAAAGATTCTAACACTAATTCATGCTAAAATAGTTGTTGTTCGAAATAGTCTTCTTCATGGATTTCTTTACCTGAACCACTTAACGTATCATGAAATTATTGAATGATTAGTCGAAATTCTTCTGCCAATGAAAAATCAGGTCAATAAATACAGTACATCTGACTCCTTAGACTTCATAGACTGCATATTAGATGTTATTATGTGTCATAAACATATATTGTCACCGAACATCATATCGTTCTTCAGAAATATTTCTGTACCAGAAATAATCTGTCTTTTAAGTGATTATATTGAGATCAACAAGCCTGAAATCGGGATTCCTTAACCTTTTCTAAAAGGTATTACTCCTAAGATGTACCTTCAGTATACATTTCATATTTAATAATGAACTTTAGTGACAAACAGATGGGATAGAAGTGGATTCATCATTAATATCTATCTTAGTTGACTGTTTCATAGTCAGTCTTGAGAACAGTAAACTGTATTCATTGGCTGACGAGTTCTAGCTGTACAAGAGATACATAAATCAACAACAAGATATTCAGCGAAGAGACTCTTCTGAACAAATTTATTTTCAAGCTGTTCATTCATATATGTATGATATTTAAAAAATAATATCCCATGAGGAAAACTAAACACTATATAATGATGACAATACTAATAAAACGAGTAATAATACAGCTATTTGTGATTATGATAAAAGTTGCAATATGAATGACTGCAAAATAGATTGTATAATATACATCATACATATACGAATGAACAGCATGAAAATAAATTCGTTCTAAAGAGCCTCTTTGCTAAAACATCTTGTTCTTGATGTTACAATGAGGTTTATTTGATACACACATGAAAATTTCATTATCTTTGAGGAAAATTGTTATCTTGAAGAAATACTACTAAAATCCAACTAATGTCTCAGGTCAATTAAGTTTACCGTGGAAACTGAAAATTACTTTCAATTCCACTTTCTGCACTTTTTATTGAGAAGAAGACATGATGGTTCCTCAAAGAGATCGATTTACACGGAAAAAAACCTGAAATGAACAATCTCTTAATTTTCATAGGCGGGTTCCATTAGCCAAGAGAAAAATCCAATTAATTCACTATGCAAAACAATTAGAAGAATGAAGATGATGATGCAGTAAATGAGGAGCTAGAAGAATGTTGAAGAGTGTTCATCGAGAATGGTTATCCTTTAAGACTGCTTGAGAATAATATGAGGTTTAAGCATCTCCATGAAAGAATCCCCACCATTCCGAGGAAGACACTGCTCATGAATATTGGATTCAACGGGTGCACATTGAGAGAGATACTCAAGAATCGATTGTGCAAAGCACTGAAAGAGATCGTGTTTCCTATTTGGCTTCAGATTTTTTCTCTGGTCAACAACTAACTTAAAGGTATGTAAAGGGTAAACTAATGATTCAGGCCACCTCAATATGTCTACCAATTCAGCTGCTCTTTTGGAGCCGGTTACATATGTCATACAAAAAGTGTTCTATTCATAGACATTTCCAATTACCATCCTGCATGACCGTCTAGAGATGAGTATGAAGCCATTAGCAGCTTGATCCCTGAGTTTTTGACTAACTGTGATCACTGTCCTTCACGAGAGTCATCTTTTTAAAGTTATTTATGAAGTGAAATCAAACATTTTGAAGGGAGTGTGTATCTGCCACCTCAACACAGCAGAAGCTTTGACAATCTAGCGTTATAAGCCTGATCTTTTCGTTAAAAAGCGACACATTAAGTCTCAAATTTTGCCTTGGTCGAAATTTCTGTAAGGCAGTTTATTCATTTCTTTGCTTATTTATTATAATGTTATCAGCAACTTTTGATGACCTTGAGTTGCCCTTCACCTTTTGACTATACTGAGCTTTTTTGATGACTTCGTATTCACCCAATAACTAATGATGAATATATATTTCACATATCATTTATCACGAACTGACATAAGTTGGAGAACCTTTGAAAACCTTGGAGCACTGGATAGACGTTTCGTCTTAGTTTGATACCATAGTTATGAACCCACACCTTTTGAAAATTATTCGTCGAAAACAAAGTTTTCTTCACTAAATTATCTGTTGACTAATTTTTTGGTCATAAACAAGGTGGTAGTTACTAGAAAAGTGATCTTATATATAAAATGGACTACTGGTATCCAACATACTACCAATTAAACTCAGTACAGCACTCCAGATTAAAAATATTGCAATAAGTAAAGAAAATAATATAAATTATGCTCAAAATGACTGATTTCACATACTATTTGAACGGAATAATGACTACTAACTCCAGTCACTCCATATAAAGATTACATGGCAACTTGCCGATACCAGTAGTGTATAAACGGTGTAGAGGTATGGTAATAAGTGTTTATCAAGTTCAGATTTCTTTCAAAGGCAACTTGAAAAATTATGGCAGTTTAAATGTTTAGTGTTTCTCAAATATGAAACTCTTTGGTCCTCACCAAGGTATGATTTTCGATTGTACATATTTCATTCTTATACTTGCTGACTTGATCACCACTGCCTTCGTAAATAGGTTGGATAATTATACTGGGCAATACTAAGCAGCATATAAAAAACTAGGAACAATTGAATTGAGAATAACAGTCTAGTATTTCACCACTGATTAGGCTACCATTTGTTATGTTGATTTTGGTGATTAGTAGAGGAATCTAAGACGTTCGTTTCGTTATATTTGAGACTCGTCAGCTGGATGTAACTGCACACCAGTAAGCGATGTTGTTCCCGCTGAGGCTGGAACCCATTACTCTTTACTCAAAACGCAAGAGTACTATCAACTAAGTCACTGAAGCACGATAACACAATAATCAACATGTTCATATTCAGCTGAAAAGACTAGTCTATACTGTTCAAATATTAAAAAACACTTTACACTGCGACGACAAACAGCAGAATGGTGGACATTGTGACATCATTACAAAGTTTGGTATTTTTATCATTGTTACTCGCTGATCACTGAAAATGGGATGAAAATCTGAGTTTCGATAGAATTCGAACCGGTGACTTTTGGGGTTATGAGTCTCACGCCGTAGTAACTGAGTTTTAGGACCTGGCTGCTGATAATCCCCTAACATCATTTCACTCACAGGGAGTATTACTCAGCTGTCATACAAATCTCTGACACTTCACCTTGGGTCTCCATCCAGTCATTACTCTGTATTAGCGACATCAGTCCTTCAAAACAACAGCTATCTTTGATAGCCTTGCCATTCATTTTTATCATTAACTGTAGTATCTCTCCAATAACTATTCTTTACTGTTCCATTGAATTTCCTTTCATCATTAGTCTGAATATCCAAGACAGCGTTAGCAATGAATGCTGTTATCATGAAGATCATAAAAGCTACTATAAACTATGTATAAGTTATAACAGTTCACTTATATATTATTTACAGAAATCTTATAATGTGCTGTATTTTGAATATTTGAAGTCCTAATATAAATCCGTGACCCGTCGGGTCAACCAGTTAGAAGTGAAGTGAATGCCAACTGAATACCTTGGGAGATAATCGCACCGTATCGCGAACAGACTGAAGTAGGAAAGTGACCCAGTTGCTTGATGGTTATCACGTTCATCGTGAAACCTGAAGGTCTTGGGTTTGATCTCTAACCGGGGTCAAGGGGGCGTACTGTTGAGGAGTTCCATACCAGGATAAAATGGCTGTCCAGTTATCCCAGGTTTTCAATAGTTCTTCAACTGACATCAGACCACGATGAATGCCACACCAAAAATGTATATCGCTTGACCGAATATATTACTCAAACCTTCTTCACATTTTAAATTATAATGTCTCTTCTGACTTTCAAAACCTTAACTAGTATCTTGGAAAGCTATACACAAGGCATGTCAATAATTGTTTTAGCGTTTATCTACTACTACGAAGTAAAATAACGTTATCTTACTCTGCAAATAGCCTTCTCGTTGAGTTCTTTAGGTTTACCAAAGTGACCGAATGCAGTAAATTCCTGTTTACATATCCTGTAATACTCCCAGATTTAAGCGATTCTTTTGGGCTGGTTGAGTAGTGATCGCGAAAAAAGATAAAAAAAGATTGAAAATTAAAAGTATTTTGGAGGAATTTAACACTTGAACTAATATTCCGTTTCTTCTAACACAACAAAAATTTTCTTTTTAAAATTCCAGTAGCATACTATGTTTAAAGCACCAGATATTAAGAAATCGGTGGTTCATCCTGTATACAGAAGTAGATACGGTCTACATAGAACAGAAAGGATTTTGCATAAATCCACGAACATATATGTGATTTTTTTCAGAAAAACAGTTCAGAAAGATGTGAACTAAATGAGTAGAAGAATTGTGTTAAGCACCATCGATATGCAGTGATTGTAAAGCTGATTGTGGAGATGCTAGAAGAAGTACTTCAAACAAATATGTCAGTGTATTTGGAGGTATGCAGTACGACGAGTATCTCACTTGTAAGTAATTTGCAACGTATATATATATATAATTCAAAAATGTAAGATACTGAGAAGCTGAACTTAATGATATTTACCGAAATATTTTCATTGATAGTAAAGTCATCTGTTCCCACGAATATCAAGTGTAAATAAACCATCCTAATTTGTTTTTTTTATTTGATAAATGATATTGTCGTATATTAGGTACAGTTTTTCATAACATGCTTACAACACTGTATATAATAAATGAATTAAACTCCTTGGTATTTATTCACAACGAACTTAACACAGTGACGAGATCTACATCACTTCTCTCTGCACAAATATCCGTTAACATATGCTTGCGAATGACATGCACTGAAAGCAGAAACCCAAGTATGCACCACAGGAATTCGAAACTTATCTCTAAGTTAGTGAGGAAAATTTTACGCCTTAGAATTCAGATTAATACGATTGAAAGGCGAATATTCGTATTTTTATGTAAACACCTTATATAAAACTTGATTATGAAATTGGCTTTACAACCAGTTTAATACCATTACGTCGCAGCTCTTATGAAACTAATTTTAGCCTTTAGTTACATGTAAGTCCGGACTACCAGTTGTTTTTACAAGTGCACACACTTTTAGCCTCACCAGTTCGTCATAACATTCTTCCTGTTAATACTGAATATGCTTCAAAAACATTTAATCCTAGACCTTTCATCCCCTTAGTTCCTTTGGCTGACTTAAATTTTTTCCCTTACATGGACTGTCTCGAGAAGTAAATATGTGTAATTAGGTTCGTTGTAGCTGGGAGCAGAACCCAGGATACATGTTTCGTCCTATTTTGGACTCGTCAGCTGGATGCATTTGCACCCTGGTCAGCGAGAATGTATCCACTGAGACTCAAACCAAGTTTACATCGCTCCAGATGCCAAAGCATTATCGTCCAGATCACTAAGGCACTGCCAACCACCAAATCAACGACAACATATCAAACACACAGACGGTATCAAGATATCTACGTAGAAGCCCATCTGCTAACAGAAATCGACCAATTATACTCAGTATAGCGACGGGAGACTAAAATAACCAATAAACAGTGTATCATTAGACTGTTCAAAATAATTTCAGTGGATTTTAATATTGCGTTAGGGGAATTTATTGAAAGAACTACCTTAAAAGGTAAAGTAACTTGTTGGTCAGGTTCATGAACTGAATCATGCCTCTGTTTTTCTTGCCAGTCGAATCAGATGGTGTTACTTGCAGTCAGATGAGCTGAGAGAAATTAGTCACTGATTATTTATCATCATAGTTTCATGTGGACTGAATGTACTTTTAATTATTTAAGGTATTTCTTGGTATCAGAGGTCACATTATATATTTCGATATTTCTGAGGTGCATTAAATCATAAGGTACTGGAAGAGAAGTCACTATTCATGATTATGTGAAATATTTTGCTGTAATTAGTTTAATTTTTGGGATCTCCACTTGTCTACTCAGTAATTCGACAGACCCATGAGGCTTAAAATCACTGAATAAGCAGAAGATGCTCCGAGACTATAGAAATATTTTATTGATAATGCCAACAAGAATAAAACATATGTTTGTGGCTTCTAGTGGTTTGCGTACAACTAATTCAATGTGAGTACAGATTATCTGTATGTTAGGTTACTTAACCTCGCAACTATTTTCAATTCCATTATCTTAACTTGAAGGTTTGTAGGGTTTTATCAATTTCAGGTTGGTATTCATCATGGACTGACATTAGTTGGAGGAATAATGCAAGCTTGGAAGCACTAGACAGCCGTTTCCTCCTAGTATGGGACTCTATAGCAGTGCACTGTATCATGAACTAACATGTAAGAAATATAGACCATTTAATTCCGACCCAGTGGCGCCGTGGTAATGAGTTGTCCGCGGAAGCTAAAGGTCCTGAGTTCGATATCTGATGAGGTTGTGGGTGCATAATGCTGAGGCGTCTCATGTTGGGGTGAAACAGCCCCCCAGTGCTTCTAGGTTTCCAATGTTTCTACAACTAATATCAGTCCATGATAAATACCAACCTGAAATTCTATTTTCATTCAGAGTATATGATATCATTTTTCTGCACGACTTGAAAAGCTGTTGTTAAAAGTAACTTTGGTTTAAAAATATCTTTTCCGGAATTAAAGTCATCCACTTAAATGAATAATGTTACATTAAAAAGATAAAAGTCGAACCTAATCTGTCTTATTCATCTATTTTTATTATCAGTCTCCTACCACACTAACTTGACCTAGTTCATTACTAAAATGGAATCTCTTTCAAATCGAACTGTTATGTACGTTAAAAAATGAAGTTAAAGTCAACTCATTCATACAGTGGCATTCAAAGTGACTGATGTATTGGCTGGTGGGTCGTTTTGTGCCTAGAAATATAAGACTAGAATATATAGACTATGTTGTTCAGTAAAAAATTGTGCTGCTCGATTCATTCCGTGATGATATATTAAACGGATATTTATTTTGATCTTTTAGAGACCATCAAAATTATGTCACTTTAGGTAGTGTAAACTCAAAGGTTACATCACATATATAAAACATTTATTTCAAAAAGTGTCTAAACCAGATATTTGTGAGCTTATATGTCGATAATAGGACAGTTGTGAAACTTATTCTCTGAAAACGAAGTGATTCGTATAAGACAGCATGATTTAATCCGAAAATGGATTGTCACTGGATCAACTCAAGCAAACAGCCCCAAATTTATACATCTTTCGATGTCTATTTTTCTTTTAAAGAATTCCTACTGTACTCAGAAAACTACATGCTTTGATATGGGTGGTCTGAAAAATTCTCTAAGATAGACATAAACTTGTTTTGTTTTGGTATTTTTACGTCATCCCTTTGTAAAAGCGCAATATCATAATGCAAATCCCATGTAATCAACATTTAAAACAATCCAAAAAAGTTTGGTTAGAAGAAATTCCCTTGAGTTTGGAGGCAGTCTACTTCTAACTAACAGAAAGTATGCTAACTGACAGAAACCTCTCACCACAAATGCATTGGTCACACTTAAAAAGTACTTAACTAGCTGTTTTCAGGCAACTGTAGGAACCTTCTTAGACCACGATGTAAGCTAGTTCTACTGGGAATTCAAAAGTTATTAACAGATAAAGAAAAACAGTAAAATGAAGACTTAATTTTGTTTATCTAACATGTTAAATAACTATTCACACATAGTTGCGTTTTATTGGCAGTTCAGTTCCACGTAATTCAACAAGTCGAGTATCTTTTCGAGCTAAAGTGCATGATGTTTTCCAACTCTAAGGCTTTTGTCAGTAAAAATTACCACCATCTACGAATACGTTCAAACACAAGAAAGTAGAGGCCCACATTAAATTGATTTAAAAATCCAAACATTAATAATAGTCACTTTAGTTAGAATATACTTCATTATTTATCATATAAACATGCCACAAAAATCTATGTAGCGACCTGATTTAAAGGCGTGTTTCAATTTATGATTAAAGTTTTTCAAATTTGTTTCAGCTTGCATTGATGAATTTGTACCCTTTAGCAATGGATGACATTGTTGATAATTTTTTTCATTCCCATTTTCATCCCTGTTACTTCGAATGCTAAAGATAGATCTCATCTACCTAGGAATCATTTCGTTTTGCTTTTTATTAGTAGTTTGTCCAGGACTATTATCTAAAATGACTGGGAAAGTAAGAGTTAAGGGATTAAGGTTGAATGATATCCACAAATGTTTTGACGAATAGACATTTCAACTCTACTTATAACTACTAGGATAGCTAACAATATTTCTTACCTACAAATGCAACACTTGTCTTCTAACTTCAATATTACTCGAAATATAGAAACCTGAAGGCATTTGTGACTCTTAGAAGGCAAAATAACCTCAGTTTAAGGACTATAATACTATGATCTTTTACCAATAAATAAAACATAGGTAAGGAAAAAGAAAATACGAGGCTAATTTTCGGCAAAGATTAAATTATGTTATTTTAAATCAATAATCATGAAAATACTACTGTCAAAATCCAGTCAATTTCTTGCACTACTGAAGATAGCATATTAACCTAGTTTACGATCTAGAAATTTAAGTGGATGTACTTTTACGAAAACAAATGATATATTTATTAGAAATACATGATCACCTAGTTTCAAAACACACTTATCATCTGAGGTAATTTTTTAGCATTTTTGAAAAAGGAATAGCACGGAATATGAAATTCCACTTTTCTATCAATTTGAAGAATGAGAAAATTTAGCACAAACTATCAAACCAAAAGTGCAAATTCAATATCATATGACATACATTCTGTCCAACAGTTACAGATTATACTTTTGAAAGAGGCAGATGAAGCTTGAGATAATATATGTATGAAATTCTTTGACCTAGATGGCATATACTCATGTGGTAAATACCAGCTACTGGTAAGTATACCTGTATTCCAGAATCTGTCTTGAGGCAAAAATCTGATCAATACACTGTCATCCAGGTTCGAAACTCGCCTAATTTTCTCGAGTTTGTTGTTCTCTATCTCCATTTAGGCGTCAGATGAATATGGACCCTAGGGTATTGGATACAATATTAGTCAAACTAATTGCGTCATCATCAAGACTTTTGATCAGTCAACTCAGAGTTGCTTTCGCATTTCACCGTAGTGACAGCCAGCTGGAATCAGTCTTCTCACATCAATCAATTCAGATGACGTTGTGGAAGTTCAGTGACGTTTGCCGACCGTTGAATGTAGGTTACAAATTGTCTTCACCACCGTTTCTACAACAGATTTAATATCACGCCAGGATTACCCAGGATGAGCACTGCTGTCATATACAGATAAATTCTTGGCTAATTTGTCTATAAATGCGTACTTAGTGTCCTCATCTACCGATCGAGCACAGATGGACCTCACTACCTCTTGTTTCCTGCAGCCAGTAAGGTGCAGACATATACTAACATGTATTAACGCGTGACTGAATTCCAAACTGGTACACTAGGAAGAGTAGCAATCCTTCAT